GGTACGGGCGAGACACTGAGGGTTGCGATCCGTTGCCGGTCACGAAAAAAGACAAAAAGGAAAAAAAAAAAAAAAAGAAAGTAGCATAGATTGTCAGAGCTATACTCTTTTTTAATTGAATTTTTCTTATTATAAAAGTAAATATAAGGGTCACATGGTATTCACATTTCTCAAAATCAGTGATATGTCCATTTCATTGTATGTAAATTTTACCTCAAAAACAAAGCAAACTGAAACTGCGAACACATACTGAACTCTAGTCATAACACATATAATGAAGTATTTAAGCGGAAATGTATTGATGCCTGCAACTTACTTGAAATGCCATCAAAATTGACTGATGGAGGAAAGTACAGATAGCTGAATATACATGCGACAAAGCAAGTATTTACATTAATTACAGAACCTAGATGGTGGGTATATAGATGTTCACTGTAAAAACCCTTTGAACTTATTTTTGTGTTAAAAAATTTTCATAATAAAATGTTGGAAAAAATAGAAATATGAAATCATCACAGAAAAATATGGAAAACGAGGGAAAATATAAGAAAAATAAAAGCACCATACACCAAGCAGACACCTGGGATCATATTATATATAATATTTTGTAACTTGCTTTCACCACTAAACAATAAATTGTGAGCATTTTCCTAGCTCCCTAAATATTCTTTTCAAATGGAAAGGAATTCTACTGTATAGCTGTGGCATACATAATTTGTTGTTTCCAATTCTTTACCATTACACGTCTAAGATGAATTCCTACTTTATCCATCTTTCTGCATATTCCTAATTACTTCCTTAGGATAAAGTTCTAGAAGTAAGACTTTTGGCTCAAAGAAAGTAAATGTTTTAAGATTTTTGATACATTTTACTATACTCTTTTCCAGAAAGATTTATCAACTTACATTCCTAACAGCAGGATATCACAGATCCTAGCTATCCCAAGGTACAATTTTAAATTAAATGCTTTCATAAATAAAATTTCTGTATAACCATCATTTTGCCAAAAGGACAAAGGCTCTTTTTTTTAAAAGTCTAAAATACTTGCAAGAGCAATCCTACCACCAAAACCTTGGTTCTTAAATATTATACTCCAAAATCAGGTAAAGTATATTGACTTTGGGCTTTTGAAGAAATGGCTGACACCAGGAATGGGACAGGAACTAGATGAGCCTGGAACATTCCAGAAAGTAAGGAAATCATCAAAATATGGTGAAAACATATCAAAAGGACACAGGAGACAGCCTGAAGGAGTTCTTACTTGCTAAAGTTGGAACAATTTAAGCATGAAAATGAATAACAACAGTAATGGATAGTAACAGTTTCAATATGAAAATGAATCTTTGAGTCTACAATCATATGGTGAAAACATATCAAAAGGACACAGGAGACAGCCTGAAGGAGTTCTTACTTGCTAAATTTGGAACAATTTAAGCATGAAAATGAATAACAACAGTAATGGATAGTAACAGTTTCAATATGAAAATGAATCTTTGAGTCTACAATCGAACAGTAAATAAAAAAATGTATGGATAAATAAATAAGGGGAGGAAGGAATAAGAAGGGAAAATTCAATTTATGTTGAACATTTTGTTGTCTAACAGTAAACTGTCATAACAATATTTGCAAACAAGAATCATCAACAGATACTAAAATCTTTGGGTAAATAAATGTTTGATGAAGGAAGATATTTATGTAGTCTCAAAGTATCTACCAATAGCTTAATTATTAATTACATAGGGAAAATAAGTATTTTTACTGTGAAGAAATTGGGTGAACCCCTCTAAACCAAGGGTTCCAATGAACATCACCAATAATGAGACAAACTGACATCATGCAAGTCCCATAAAGACACACTGAGGACACTCACGTAGCATTCCTACCAAAACTACATAAACTTAAGGTAGGCAGGAGGGGGGAATCAGATAAACCCAAAATGAGGGGCATGCTACAAAACAACTGTCCTATACTCTTTAAAAAGATAAAAGCCTTAAAAGACAAAGAAAGGCAGAGAAACTTCTAAATTAAAGCAGACTAAACATATATGCCCATTATATGCAATATGTGCTACCGGATTAGATCCTGGGTTGGAAAAAACTAGCCATAAAAAGCTGTTGTTGGAACAACTGACAAAATTTGAATATAGACTGCATAATAGGTAATATTATTATCATTGTTAAATTTCCTGAATTTGTTAATTGTACTATGGTTGTGTTCTTGGGAGATGCTGAAGTATTTAGGGATAAAGGCATATAAGCTTCTGCAATTTACTCTTATGGTTCAGCAAGAATAATGAAATATATATGAATACATATAAATCAATAATACACATAGAGAAAGCAAAGGTTGCAAAATGTTACTAAGTGGGTCTAGGGAAAGTAAATACTAGAGTTCATGGTACGATTCTCGTAAATTTTCTCTAGGTTAAAAAGCTTCTTAAAAATAAAGTTTTAAAGAGCCACCAAGATTTTAAGTAAGAGCCATTTTTCTTTTTTTTTTAATTAGAAAAATAGAGGAAAATAATACGTACTCACTAAACTAGAGATTATTTGCAAACAAAGTGAAAGTAAATAGTCTTCCTTTACCATCTCACATAAGAACAGTTAAAGAGATTGGTATATATTTTCTCCACGTTTCACGAAGTTCATAAAACATATATTTACTCAAGTATCAAGTCATTCTTAAAGAGTCACTTGAAGTCAGCTACAAAGGTTTTATTAAATGATCTGTTGCTTCTAAAACTCATTGGCTAAAAACGATTAAGTGACATGGTATTGGATATATAAATCGGAAAAAATGCAGAGCTTATTTACCTTTATCTTATCACATAGAAAACATGCAGCCAGCAAGCTAATAGATATTTCATAAAGTACAATAATGAATTACGGAAGTAATGTATATTTCCTTTCCAATAACTGCCAACACCTGGCCAAAACTTTTTACTTCTTAAACTCATGTTGACTCCATACATGAGGGGTACTTTGTCATAATTTACCATATCTCTTTATCACTCAGAATCATTGACTAAACCAAGCCCCAAGGCTGAAATGGAGTTTTTGTTTTTCCTACTTACAAGTTTATAAGCTATACTCTTGCAGTTTACTGTAATCAACTCAATTTCTAAACTACAAACATGCAGGTTAAATATCTATACAAAACCAGGATTTGACAGTTTCCAATTCCTGCTTTCATTCTCTGCTCTTTTGTCATTTTGCTGGTTCTCTCAAAAATAGTAGGAAAGGTATTTTGTATGTACAAGGGTAATTCAAAAAGTTCATGGAAAATTTGTATAATCTTTTAATTCTATTTTTCCACAAAACTTTTTAAGTCCCCACGTATGTTGGGGGGTAGAGGTTGGAGTTGCAATTAATATTTTCCTATCGAAATCTGTTTCATGTCTCATAAAGTCTCTCTCACAACAATAATCACATAAGAACATGTGCACTATAGTAAAGCTGCATGACCAAATGCTTAAAAATATTAGCATACTTATAAATCTCTTTGACTATCACTGGACGGAATTATTTTATTTATTTTATTTTCTATTCTTACCTGGTAAACTAGAGGTTTCAGAGTTTAAAACTAAAGAACAAGGGGTCTGGCCTCCTAGTTTTCACTTGCCCCTCTGGGACAGCCTAATACATTTCTCAAACCTCTATTTCGCAATTTATAAAATGGGACAATACTACTCATTCATAAAGGACTTAATGAGTTAACTTCATAAACGGGCTAGGTTCAGTCCAGAGTAAGAAATGGTTTTATTACTCGGCTACTGTTAAAAATTTTTGTTGATAAAGAAATGGGAGAAAGGGAGAGCAAACTTCTTCTACCTGATACCCTTCTGTTTTGTGTACTATTGGCTTTAAAAGCTCTCACTTCTCAATACTTTCCAAAACCTACAGAGACATCTTAGTACTTCTTACCTGGCTTCAACAATTGGAAACACAGCTGGAGATCACACAATTACACAGCACTGCTGGGAGGAAACCCACAAAATGTTGCCATTTAGGTTTCCTTTCTCTAATCAATTGCTATGGTTCACTGGCAGCAATTAGTGGGGGAAAAAAAATGAAATCATTCAGGGAAATTAAAAGCTATTTATGGAAATTTTTACTTTAAAAAGACACAGAAAAGGACAATAATTAGCCAAAACAGGGCATAAATAGAAATGACCAAAACAAGCTCCAGAGGGTAGCTCTTAAAAGTTATCAATGCTGCTGAGCCCCTGCAGGTCTGCTCTGCAACCTCGGACGGGAGTGCCGCCGCGCTTCCCAAGCGGTGCACTATCCAGTGCGCCACCGGGCCGACCCACGGTACAGCAGCTGGATTTATTCTTGCGGTACCAAAATGAATGTGGGGACTGTGTTGTGTCACATTCCTAAGAGAGATGTAAGGTCTGATAGTTCTCAGCTTGTCTACAACAAGCACAAATCCTGGACTCTGAAAGCCAAGACCCTCTTCTAATTTTAAGGGCACTTCTCTGTCTAGCACCTATTCTTTATTACAAAAAGTCCATCCCTGTTAGCCTTAAGTAGATGTGAAATACAAGAAGTTGGTATTGCTTATTTCAGTAGAATAGTGCTCTTTATTTTTTGAAAGATAATTCTTGATGATCATAAATTCAAGAAGAGATACTGAAAAGGGGATGAGAACTTGACACGTTACTCTTTACTGACCCCTCTTGGCTGCCCTAGGGAAGAGAACCCTGGGAAGGTCTGAAATCTCACCTTCTCCTCCAGGAGAGCTCTGAGAACATTCGGTCTTTCACGCCATGGAAAGAAATCCTCGCACTTCAGATGACCCTTAGTAGAACTCAACCCTAAAGCACACGGTGCAATAATTTCTATTTATGGGGCTCCCGGAATGGAAATTGGGAAACAGCCTCATGGAACAGCCCCAACTTGCTAGGTCCCTTGCAGCCCTGTGACCCTCTAACTCTAGGTTGAAAACCTTATATAAGTGCTATCCTGACCATTTCCGAGAGCAGGAAAAGACCTTACCTCTTTCTCTATTTTGAGTAGCTTCTTTACAGCCACCTCCTTGTCCTGTGATATCCATTTGGCTCGATAAACACTCCCAAAACTTCCTCCACCGCAGTTTTCAAAAAATTGCAAGTCATCAAATTTAATTTGCACAAAGGAGGCACCGAGAGACGACATCTCATAATGACAAAGTACTATACTTCCACAAAATCTGCAGAGAGAAAGAAAAAGAAAAGTTGAATCACAAATATATTAGAATGCATCTTTTGAATCCTACTTTAGATAATGTATTATGAATCTTGTGAAACTTCCAGAAAGAACCATGATGAGTTAGGAGGAAGAAAAACAAGAGTATAAACAAATCAAAATGAAAACACTCACCCTGGCAGCTTGTGCAAACTTCAGCGGCAACTTGTCTAGACTTTGAAACACAGCTGTCCACAGAGAAATGGCTCAGATTTCCCCCCAACAAAACCTGTAGCAGCACTTCCTACATATCCGGAGGAGCTCTGCCTAAAGGCTACTGTGTCACCAGGTCTATTGGGAAGCCCTGACGAACGGGAAGCATGCTTTCAACTGCAAGCTTGCATAGCTCTTATGGCATCTGCGGCATGCCATCTCTCCACACTGCACTCACTTCACACAAAATATACATAACCTAAGCCACTGAGCATCCTGGCACAATGACAGCTAAAATGCTGCAAACTGAACACACATTCAGCATTTAGATTCCAAAAACAAACTTTCAGTTTAGGGATGATAGAAAAGCTGGCCAAATGTTTTCCAAAAGTGGCTCCCTGGACTGTATACCATAGCAGAACTTAATTAAAGAGTAGAAAATTTGCCCTTGATTACAATATGTTGTCATCCAAAGAACCACCGAGGATGTTAAAAAATGCATTATGCTTGTTTCCAGAGGAACAGATTATCCCTCCCAGAGATTATTACAGTGATATTTTTTGTGGTCCAAGTAGTTTTACTATTCAGCAGGTCAGTGGTCATTCTTAATACCCTTTTCCAATCCACAGATTAGCAGGAAAAGCAAAACAAAACAAAAAACATACAAACAAGAAAACAATGAACCAAAACTTTGAACCAGCATAAAAAACTAAAAATCAGTGGATAAAAAAAGTTTGTATACACGTTCTTGCCAAAATCGTAAACCAGAATCTTATAATGAGGGAGCAAAAAGACAAATCCATATTTGTAGGACATTATACAAAACAACTGGCCTAGATGCCTCATAATTGTTAATGTCATGAAAGATTTTTTAAAAAACAAACGGAAACTTCCAGCATGTTTAATGATGATTAAATGTAATCATCAGTGATTAAATGTAATCACTGAGTAGATTCTGGATCAAAAAAAATCTATAGGAAATATTATTCAGATTTTAGGAAAATCTGAATATTAACTACATAGATAATATTTTATTCCTGGCAAATAACATATAGGTGGATGTGCTCATTCTTGGGAAATATATATAAATGTATTAAAGTATGATGTCTACAGCTTACTTTAAAATGGTCAGCCTCCGCCGCCATACCCCCAAAAAGGTGTATGGGGAAGGGGAGAGGAAGCAAATATGGCAAAATGTTAAGAACTGATGAATCTAGGCGAAAGGTATATGGGCATTTTACTACTCTCGCCATTTTTCTGTGAGATTTTTGCCTTTGTTTTAATTTTTCCAAAATAAAAAGGTAGAGGGGCACAGTTTGTATCTATTTAAATAGATTAAATTTCTCTATAAACAACTTGTGGCTCTGCTGAGTGATGCACACAGTCAGCTCAGAAATCTTAATGTGCAGCTAACTAGCAATCCCATTTTAAGAACATCAGGTCACTGAAGAATGCTGATTTCTTACATGGAGTCAAACTCTGCTTTGGGGAAGGCAAGAAAGCGGAAAGGTTGGTTGTTTATCCTCTAAAGTTTAGAAGATAGTTTAGAAACTACATAAAAATATGGTGGGGGGAGACACTGTTTCCATATACAGCCTATAAACATATCTGAATCAACAATACCAACTTTTACTACAATTCATATTTAGTTAAATGTAGAAGAGAAGAAAGTTTGGATAAAATTTATGAATGTGCAAAAGTTAGGTATATAGAGTACACAAGATAAAAAAAAATGTGTTCAACAAAACATAAAACACCATTTGCAAGATTCCCTCAGCATTACAGATGCTAGGTCTATGTTTTAATTAATTATTTCTATTTTTATCAAAGTATAAAAAATGAAATAGGACTATAAAGCTTATAATAAAAACCAGAAATCCCCTGCCCTAGGTGCTCTGCATCCAATTCTTACTCTCCAGAGGCAATTAAAGTCCGTTAGCATTTTCTTCTGATATTTAACTCCGTATTTCTAAATAATATGCTTATATTGCTATTTCTTGATTTTTCCATTTTAAATATTATCTATTAGTTTCTCCCTAAGGAAGATAAGAATTTAGTTCTCATATACCATCCTTTATCTCCATACATACAAATGTCACATTTGCCCCAATCCACCCAGCTTCCAACGACATTGTAACATTTGGTTAAGTCAATAATCAGGGTTTATGGTAGTTTGATAAAGTAAATATTATTCCCAGCAGTATCACGTAGGATTCAATGATTATATTTCCTTCCTTGGACAACTCTTTGTTTCTCTGAGAGTTATTAGGTGCTCTGTTTTTGTTTTTTGTTGTTGTTTGCTTAGCTTTTTATACTCCTAACACTTATTCAGCTTATCAAACTTTCCCAAGAACTGTAAAACTCCTCTCCATAAAGTAAAAAATAATCAGGTAATTTCCTTTTTTTTTTCCCCCCCATTCTATTTTTTCTTGGAGACATTCCTTCTATACCCTTCACCCTGATTCAGTCTGGCTGAAATGGTTGCTCTCCAGGCCTGACTTGGACTATGACTTCACTTTGCAACCATCCCAGGTATTTCCTTTACCTTTTTCCTCTGTGGGAAACCCTTCTTTGGCTCTCCTATCTTCTCTTTCTTGGTTTGTTCCCTTGTTTTGACAATATACATCACCCATTAGCTACTTGAATACAGTGCACAGAATGTAATATTTTGAGAATCTGTGTGTCTAAACTGTCTTGGTTGGAAGCCTGACTGGGTCTGAAATTCTAGCTAGGAAATAATTTCATATAATTTTGAAAGAATGACTTCATTTTCTTCTAGTTTCTTTGTGACTTTGAACAGTCTGATGCTACTCTGATTACTAATCCTTTTTACATTATTTTTCCTCTCTGAAAGCTTTTAGGATCCTCTATTCATTCCTGAAATACTAAATTTTAAAAGGATATATTTAGGGGTGAGACTTTTTCATTCATTGGTGAGATACTCAGTGAACTCTTTCAATCTGTAATTCCTTTAATTCCAGGAAATGTTCTTGTGTTAATCCTTCACCACTTATAGATATCTTCACTTCATGTCTTCTCATTTCCATACACACATGAGGAAATGTTTGCAGTTTCCAATATATGCTAACCTCTCTCACCTCCCTATACCTTTGCACAGGCTGGTGTTTCTCCTTCAAATGCCTTTTTCTGCCCAGAAAACTCCTGTCCCTGACCACTTCTTAAAACCTCACGAGCAGAGTTAAACTCTTCCTCTTCTGTGCCATAGCACCTCTCTACCCATTGATCTTTCCCCCTTAATTCCCACCAGACTATAAATTCCCTAAAACAAAACTCCTTTATCTTCATATCTGGATCTTCAGCACCTAGTACACAGCCAGGAACACAGTATGCACCTTTTCCATTAAAATAAAAAAAAAAATTGTGTTGAATAAATGAATAGTTTCTGGTTATTCTTCCATTATATCTTTTGCAGCTGGAAAGATTTCCACCAATGTAAGTAAAACCTTAGGTCTACTTATACAAGTTGCTTCAGAGGATTCTGAGGCAAATCCTGATTTGGAAACTGTTGCCTTGGTTTCTTGGGAGACTGAGGACAGTATGTTTGAGGCCTCCAGTATTGGGTCCCTCTGAGTCCTAGGGGAGTGGGGGTAGGGGAAGGAGTAGAGAAATCCTTTCCAAAACAAAGGTAGAGATCTGAACCAGGATGAGATCAAAATGAATCTGGTGCAAAGCAAGCCCAGGGAATATGGATGAACTGCAATAGGATCAGTCACATTTGAAAGTAGCCTAAGGATGCCACAAGAAAGATGATCTCTGAGAAGCACTCTTCTCCACGATCTTTAGCCCCTGACATGAGGCAACTAGTCATGATCTTCCCAGAATCAGTTACTCACTTTGTGATACACCCTGCCATTTGGGAACTGTCTATATATGAATGGTATTGTGCAATTACTTGAATGTTTTATTGAGACCGTAAAAAATTAAGTCCCGTCTGATTGCTGAAGGGACTAACAATGCTAGGGTGTATGAGTACAGGTCTTAACTTCTGTGAGCTTGGCAAAACATCATGAACTTAATTGAAAAAACTTGGTGAGATTCCCATTCCCACATATATAAATGTCAGACCACATATATATATATTTTTTTTTTTTCTTTTTTTCCCCCCGAGTTTTCTCTCCTTTAAATTCTTTTTTCTAAAAGGTTCAACCTATGACCAGAAGAATGAAAAATCTGAAATGTTGGCTAATCATACCTAGAGCATCTTGGGGAAGACTGCTACCCGATCAAATTATGTTCTAAATTTTCAAGTGTATTCTTCAGTGAATATGCCAGAATTTAATAACACGAGGAGTCTTAAAAAGTTCATGGATTTGTATTATCTTTTAATTCTATATTTCAATGAACTTTTTGAAGTACCCCTGTAAGAGTCATCTGTATAAATTTGTTTACATAGTATACCATTAATAACACGAGGAGTCTTAAAAAGTTCATGGATTTGTATTATCTTTTAATTCTATATTTCCATGAACTTTTTGAAGTAGCCCTGTAAGAGTCATCTGTATAAATTTGTTTACATAGTATACCGAATCAAATATGATGTTCTCACCACACCACTTTAAAATAATTGCTTTTACACAAAAAAGGCAGTTTTGGGCCGGCCTGGTGGCACACTGCTACAGTGCGCCGCTTGTGAGCGCGGTGGCGCTCCCGCCGGGGGTTCGGATCCCACATGCAGACCGGTTCCTGCTCACTGGCTGAGCGGGGTGTTGGTGCGACATGGAGGGTTGCGATCCCGTTTCCGGTCCGGTACGGGCGCAGCACTGGGGGTTGCAATCTGTTGCTGGACAC